GTATTTAGGGAGTGCGTGTTCAAGCACAAGCATGTCCCTCTTCCTTTCAAGTCTGAGATTGCTAACACTGTGCAGAGGCAGAGGTTCAGGCCGGGTTTGTCATGCCCAGTGGAACGGGAACAGTAAACACTCCGTTGTGCCAAGGATCCTCACGCAAATAAATTTCATCATTTTACTGTCAAATCTATTATGGCAAAATTCAGACCATAATACTGAGGTTTATCCAATACAGTTTAATAGGCTTATATCAATTTTCTTTCTCCAAAAACATCTCAATGCTCCCTAAACCAGCAACTGATCCTTAAGGTGAGAAAGTAGTGTCAGCAGCTCCTGCATCCCTTCTTGCTCTCAAGTGCTGACCCTTTCCCATCTTCCCTCCCCAGGGGACCGGTGTCACCTCCACTGTGTAGCTTTCCCCAACTTCTTCCCCACACCCCCACCCCCATCAACTTTGTCCTCATAAGTGTGCCTCTGTTGCAATTCTCCTCATCACATCAATGGCATTTGAAGTATTGGTTATACTTCAGATTTTAAAAAATAAAAATAAAAAGCCCGTCGGGTGTAGTTCAGTGGTTGAGCATCAACCTATGAACCAGGAGGTCATGGTTAGATTCCAGGTCAGGGCACATACCCAGGTTGCAGGCTTGGTCCCAGTGGGGGGGCGTACAGGAGGCAGCCGACCAATGATTCTCTCTCATCATTAATGTTGCTATCTCTTTCCCTCTCCCTTCCTCTCTGAAATCAATAACAGTGTTGTTTTTTTTAAAGGGAGGGTGGGTGGATAGCCCTGAAGAACATCAGGTGAGGTGACGGGAGTGTTTAAGAAAAGGAGGAAAAGGTGAAGGAATTGAAGACTACAAATTGGCAGTTTCAAAACAATCGCAGGTTATAAAGTACAGCATAGGGAGTACAGTTAATAATCTATACTAATAAAAGGGTAATATGCTAATTAGACCAGGAGACCTTCCAGACGTCCTTCCAGACAAATCCATGTTGGCAGGGCCGAGGCAGAGGCAGTTAGGGGGCAATCAGGCCAGGAGGGGAGAGCAGTTGAGGGTGATCAGACCCGCAGGAGGGGGCAGTTGGGGGGAAACAAGCCAGCAGGGGGGCAGTTGGGGGCAAGAAGACCAGCAGGGGGTGCAGTTGGGGGTGATCAGGCCAGCAGGGGGTCAGTTGGGGCAATCAGGCGAGCAGGGGGGTAGTTGGGGGCAAGCAGGCTGGTGGGGGGACAGTTGGGGGCAAGCAGTCTGGTGGGGGGAGTTGGGGGGAGCAGGCTGGTAGGGGGGTAGTTGGGGGCAAGCAGGCTGGCGGGGGGGGCAGTTGGGGCAATCAGGCTAGCGGGGGGGTAGTTGGGGGCAAGCAGGCTGGTGGGGGGAAAGTTGGGGGCAATCAGGCCAGTGGAGGGGGGTCAGTTGGGGGTGAGAAGGCTGGCGGGGGGGGCAGTTGGGGGCAAGCAGGCTGATGGGGGCAGTTGGGGGCAAGCAGGCTGGTGGGGGGGACAGTTGGGGGCAATCAGGCCAACGTGGGGGGCAGTTGGGGGCGAGAAGGTTGATGGGGGGCAGTTGGGGGCAAGCAGGCTGGTGGGGGGGCAGTTGGGGGCAATCAGGCCAGCAGGGGGAGCAGTTGGGGGAGAGCAGGCTGGCATGGGGGGCTGTTGGGGGCAAGCAGACTTGTGGGGGGAGCAGTTGGGGGTGAACAGGCTGGTGGGGGGGACAGTTGGGGGAGCAATCAGGCCAGTGGGGGGAGCAGTGGAGGGCCATCAGGCCAGCAGGTGGGGCAGTTGGGGGCAAGCAGACCATCAGGGGGTGATCAAGCCAGCAGGGAGGCACTTGGGGGCAAGCAGGCTGGCAGGGAGGCCAGTTGGGGGCAATCAAGCTGGCAGGGGCGCAGTTGGGGGCAAGCAGGCTGGTGAGGGGGCAATTGGGGGCAAGCAGGCCAGCAGGCAGAGTGGTTAGGAGTGATCAGGCAGGCAGGAGCCAGCAGTCCCAGATTGTGAGAGGGGTGTACAACTGCCGGTTTAGGGATTGGGCCTAAACTGGCAGTCGGACATCCCCCAAGGGGTCCCAGATTGGAGAGGGTACAGGCCAGGCTGAGGGACAGCCCCCCACCCGCGCCATGCACAAATTTCATGCGCTGGGCCACTAGTCCTATCTAATAATAGACAAACATGGTAATTAACCACAGTTCTGACACGCTTCCCATTGGCTAATCAAGGCGATATGCAAATTAACTGCCAACCAAGATGGCGGCCGGCAGCCAGGCAGCTGAAGCAAACAGGAGGCTTGCTTGCTCCAGTGAAGGAGGAAGCCAAGGTTCCCCGCCTGCCACTGCCAGCCTCTGAGCTGCAACTCTAAGCAACTATGTTGCAATTATAGAACCTAAACAAACTCCAGAAACCTGCTTTCAGCCATCCGGGCTTCGGCCAGCAGGATCACAACAGTGTTACAATTATAGAACAAATCAGATACCTGCTTTCAGCAGCGGAGGTCTCAGAGCTGCAGCCGGGCCTCAGCGCTAAAGCCGGCTTTCAGCTCCAGTGACAGCCATAGAAAGTAAATAAATCCCAGAATAAAAAAATAAAAAATAAAAAAAGGAGAAGTTGGGAGAGCTTCAGTAGCCCACCAGCCTGAAAACGGCCCTCAGCCCCTCACCCAGACTGGCCAGGCACCCCAGTGGGGACCCCCACCCTGAAGCAACAAGATGGCGGCTAATTTGCATACAAAGGCCGGGCAGCAGCCAGGCAGCTGAAGCAAACAGCAGGCAAGGCTGTCCACGGTCCAGGACCAGATCTGTGACCCTGCCGGCCGGGGCAGCGCTTGAGCTGTCCGCGGTCTGGGACCCAGATCCAAGACCTGGTGGGTGGGGGCAGCACTTGAGGCTGTCCGTGGTCTGGGACCCGGATCCATGACCCTTCCCGGTGGGGCGGCAGCTCGCACAGGGGCGATCGGCCAGGGTTGGGCAGGGCAGGATGCCTGGCTTCTACCCAGCCCCAGGCACTCTGGGCAGGTGAGCAGTGCAGAGAGCCTCTGGACAGGGGAGGCAGGCAGGCGGAGGGCGGCCTGTACTCCCCACATGGCAGTGGTGATAGCTGTGAGCACACCAAGCGGAGCCTACAGGCTGAGCTGAAGTTGCGCCTGCAGGCCATCAGCGCCCAGGAGTGGCTGCGCAAGATCCGCCTCCTGGCCCAGAAGTTGCAGGATCGCAGGGACAGCCACTGTGGCAGGCCAGACTGACGTCCTCCTGGCCGCACCACGGGGGTTTGCAGATCTGCAAAGCCAGAGGCCTCCGGTGTGCACATCTTCCCCTGGTGTGCAAACATCCCCCAGCACACTGTGACCCTCCTGCACCTGCAACAGTTGCAAATCAAGGCGTGCACAAGTTCCCCCTGCCTCTCCACTGCACTTCCATCAACCCAGCATGCCTAACACCCCCACAGGATGTGCACACATCCCCTCTGATGCGCTCACGTCCTTCGGAGAGTGTCTGGGTGCTGAGGGTGGGCGCCTGTGAGATGACAGTGAGAGGGCAGAGTGGTGATGCCCTGTTCCCACAGTGGCCAGTGCAGCTATGAGATCACCTCTAGGGGGTTAATGCAGGTGCTGAGGCGGGAGCAGATGCAGACAGACACACCTGGTGGGCGTGGGCGGCCCTTGCTGAGGTGCCTTTGGTCAGCGTTCAAGATCAAGAACCCAGAGGTGGAGAGGAATTCCGTCCTCTCAGTGAAACAGTGGGATAGTCGGGGCGACTGTAGAGGAGGAATGTGCACTTTGGGTGCCAGCACCCATGAGCGAAGGCTGCCCTGACTGAGCCTTGCTTGCTTGGGGCCTAGCACACTCCTGCCAGGCAGAGGGTGACAGGAGGTGCTTTTCCAAATTAATGAGAGAAAACGTTGATTCTCCTGCTGCCCACAAAGGTGGAAAGTGAAGTGGGGAGACATGTGGGGAGGGAGCGAGGTTCCCTGTCTGGGGGTTCCAAATCTGTTGTTGGTTTCTTTCACTGCTGACTAGAGATATACAGGGTATCCCCCCAAAATGTATACACACTTTGAATACCTACTAATTCCAATGGTTTTAAGCATAAGAAAGAAACAACAATGGAGCTGTTATCTGTTAAAAGTGTGGGCACAAACAGGTAGTTGGACATTCCCTGAGGGGTCTCAGATTGGAGAGGGTGAAGCCAGACTGAGGGGCCCTTTCCCCCCCCCCCACCCCAGTGCATGAATTTCGTGCACCGGGCCACTAGTCTATAATAATAAAAGCGTAATATGCTAATTAGACCAGACAGCCAAATGACTTTCCTGACATCATTCCTGACGAAGCTGTGGCAGCGGGGACAAGGCAGAAGCGTTTGGGGGCAATCAGTCAGGCAGGTGAGTAGTTAGGGCAATCAAGCAGGCAGGCGAGTGGTTAGGAGCCAGCAGTCCAGGATTGTGAGAGGGATGTCCAACTGCCGGTCATCCCCTGAGGAATCCCAGATTGGGAGAGAGTGCAAGCGGTGCTGAGGGACCCCTCCTCCCCAACCCCATGCACAAATTTCATGCACCAAGCCTCTAGTAATAACTATGTATGATATCAGATGGGTACTAGACTATCCTAGTTTTCTAAATTAAGCCTCAGGAAAGAATAAATCTCACCACATTAAGCATCTGTGTGCCAGGTAGCCTATGGGATGTCTTGCTTCCTTTTCCTAATATAGTCTTTACAATAATGCCGAGGGTAGGTGTTATTAACACCATGATTCAGAAGAAGAAACTCACATGAGGAATTATTAAATACAATATTCCTCACACACACACACACACCCCTTACCCACTGTGTCACTTTCTGAGGTTTTAGTTATTCACAGTCAACTGTGGTCCAAAAATATTAAATGGGAAGTTCCAGGTATAAACAATTCGTAAGCTTTAAATTGTGATGAAATCTCAGGCGGGCTCTCTCCATCCCGCCCTGGGTGTGAATCACCGCTTTGTCCAGCGCCTCCATGCTTGCAGGCTCCCTAGCTGTGAGTCACTCGGTAGCCCTCGGTTGTCAGATAAACTGTCACAGATCACAGTGCCTATGTGCAAGGAACTCTCATTTTACTTAACAGTGAGTGGCCTCAACGCGCAAGAGTGGCGATGCTGGCAATTGGGATATGCCAAAGGGAAGCCGTATGTACTTCTTTTAACTGAAAACGTGAGTACAGTCCAATAAGATATTTTGAGAGAAAATGAGACCACATTCACATAACTCTTACTACAGTATGTTGTTATGACTGTTCTGTTTTCTTATCTATTATTGTTGTTCCTCTCTTACTGTGCCTAAATTATAAATTAAACTTTATACAGGTATGTATGCATAGGAAAAATCATAGTATACATAGGGTTTGGTACGATCCACCATCTCAGGCATCCACTGAGGGGACCACTCTACTCTGCTCATGCTTTCGTTGATGTAAAGAAAGGCCAAAATCCAGGCCCCCGACTCCTGTTCCAGCGATCTCTCCATGGATCCAAGCTAAGTCAGCACTTCCCTGTGGCGGCTCCCACCTCACCTCACTTCTTACGTTCCCCGTTCCCAGCATTTTATCAGCATTCTCTGGCCCAGGAAAGCACAGGGTTTATACAGAAGTACATTCACCCTGTATAAATTTATTGGATGCTCTGATTCAGCGTTAGTTACAGAAAAAAGTCACAGTGCACTAACATTATATGTAATGAGGTGAAACATTTTTCCATACTTCTCTTGATATTTTAGACATCATTCTCTGAGGTCAGAACACCAGCATTGTACCCTGTGTTCATTGGTTGGAAGTTTATTTGATCATGGTTAATGCGAATGGGTAGCATGTACCTATGACACAATGTCTGCCAATGTCACTTTACAGTTAAAATACTGTCTAAAGCAGTGATGGCGAACCTTTTGAGCTCGGCGTGTCAGCATTTTGAAAAACCCTACCTTAACTCTGGTGCCATGTCACATATAGAAATTTTTTGATACTTGCAACCATAGTAAAACAAAGATGTATATTTTTGATATTTATTTTATATATTTAAATGCCATTTAACAAAGAAAAATCAACCAAAAAAATGAGTTCGCGTGTCACCTCTGACACGCGTGTCATAGGTTTGCCATCCCTGCTCTACAGTTTGGGACTTTAAGGAACGGGAGAAATAAGACCTACAAACATTAGTTGTGAGATGAAATTCATGGAAACTTCTGGAGCCTTGGGAAATTAACTAAATGAACTCAATCTTCCTAGACCAGTAGGAGGAAGCCAGGAATCATTACAAATGCTGGCTTTCTATAAGCTAAACGTAGCTGGGGGGTAAAATTGAGACCACATAGAAAACTCGTTTCCTTCCCATTCTGATTGCTTTTCACTCTCCAACTGCATAGCTTTTGCAATTAAACCTCCTTATGCTCATGAGGCATTTTCTAAGTGCCCTGAGACTTCAAATAAAATGTGCAGCTGGTTAAAGTTTGCTTTCCTTGTCTCCTGATAGAAATTTATATTGGACTTGGGGCACCCTCTGGGTAAGACACAAGTGATTATGGTGGTAGCTCTAAACTTCTTGCTTAGCAATTTTACTAGATGTTATGTTCTTTTTACCGTGATGTTCAGCATGTTCTAGGAGGTTTGGGCAAATAGGTAGTCCCTTTCTGCTAGGCTTATGAAGTGTAGGTAGGCTTTGAATGGACACAGTTGGGGGAAAGTTGTCTAAAAATCAAATTCTTTCAGGCAAGCTGAATCCCTGCCCCTCCCCCAACTTCCAGCTGTCACCTCCTAGGAAAACAGTTGGTCCTAAGATGTACTAAAATTACTCTTCAGGAATTAAAGCCAATCATTTAACACAAATGATTGGCTTTAAATAAAAATCAGTGACAACGTGTACAAAGTTTCCAAATAAAAATGCCGAATGTAAATGTAACTGAGATTGTCGGGTCCCCATACCAGGGGAAGGAAGCATGTAAAGGCAGCAGGCGTTGATGTTTTCATAGCTTGGCACACTTCCTGGCTGGCTTCTAACCACTCTGGCACTTCTAATTTTACATCCAGAGTCCCTGCCTTGTTCCCTTGCCATGGCTGCTATCATTCGTACATTCTGGTCTTTCCTCCAGGCACCTCTGGCCCAAAGTCAGCAGCATTGCGTAAGGGGGAAGAGACAGAAAGTGCTCTTCTCACTCCAAGCAGCTTAGCAAATGTGGGGTGTGTTGTTTTGTGGGGGGTTTTTTTTAATTTTTTCATGTCCCACCTTGACCTTTCCGGTATCACTGTCATAGTATTAGGACAGGCTTTAAAAATTAACAACAAAAAAATGTTAACATCTCTTCGGATTCACTCTCTTCTGTAAACTAAAATTTATACATCTATGTACCTTAAACACAATAAACTATATTGTTGATTTAAGTAATTATTAAACCTTCACTACTTCTCTTCCTCTTGTCCACGAAAAAAAGAGGCAAGATTTTGGAATGATTTCCCCAGGAAACTGCCTTCCTACCTCATTCACTATTGAGCCCAAAGACTTAGAAATAGGTTCTAATGGGGTCCTCACGAAAGAAATAGAAAAGCAACATGTGCCCCACTAACCGCCTAACTTATTATTTGGTCAACTGATTTAGAGAGCATACACCCAGAATCAGTGCACTGGAAATGAAATTGAAGGGCTGGGCATTGGGTTATCAATTTCAATCCAGCTGTATTCACTTTCTGCCATAACAAATTACGGTAAATTTAGTAGTATAAAGCAGCCCAAATTTATTAATTTGCATTTCTTCAATTAGAAGTCCAACAGGGTCTCATTCCTTTCCAGTGGCTCTAGGAGTAAATCCATTCCCTTGCCTTTTCTGGGATCTAAAGGACACCAACATCCCATGACTCATGGTACTTCCCTCCACCTCCAAAGCCAGAAACGTTGCATCTCTAACCATGCTTCTTAGTCACGTCTCCCTTTCTCTGACTACAGCCAGGAAAGGTTCTCTGCTTCTAGGAACCTTTGTGATTAAGCTGGGTCCACTTGGATCATCCAAGAAAATGTCCTTATCTCAAAGTCCTTCCTATCACATCTGCAAAGTCCTTTTGCCATGTAAGGTAACGTATCCTCAGGTCCTGGGATGAGGACACAGACATGCTTGGGAGGCCATTACTCTGCTCACCACACCAGCTGTCAGAGCTTCATTCCCTGTGGGCAGACTCATAGCCTCGTTGCTTTACTTTGCAGTAAATCTAACTTCTCATGGGAAGGCTCACATCTGTCTCTAGATTCCATCTCTTTCCATCTAGAAGAGCTCCTTGGTATGGGCTTGGTTTGGTTTGGTTTGGTTTGGTTTTTGTTTTGTTTTGAGCATTCAAAAGTAGTTGGTTGCAACTACAATAGCACTTAATCTGTTGCACACTTTGTTTTCCACTTGAAAGATCATCTCAAGAATCCACAGGACCCGGCTGTATGTTCTGAGAAACTGCTGGCCCCTGCTAGTTCTCAATCAAATGTTGCCGTGTCCTATCTCACATGCATCTGGAGGAGGAGTGCTCGTAAGATACGAGATGGCGCCACGGCCGGCAACTTTACTCATCTTGGGAGCGGGATGATGTAGCTGGTTTCATAAACTTTCCTTTCTTGTAGTGTTCAATTCTCTCTAAAATTTGAAGGCTTCTCTCTTACCCATCTTTGAAAGCACAGAATTTCCTAAACTTTTTAAGAACTAGATGACTTTCCCAGACTTTACACTTATTTTTTTTTCCTCTTCATGGTCACAACCACCACAGAAAAAGAAAGCCTGGACTTTCAAAATAATAACCCCAGTTTACAAAGTTATTGTCTGGAAGCTAAATACTGAATTTTAGGTACTCACTATGAACCACAAAAATAAGTAAAATTGACATGATTCTCCATATCATACTATCACTACTGTATTTTCTTGCTGTTATATGTCCTTTATTCTACCTTGGGACTCTATGCCAATAGGAAACTGCTTTATGCTTTAAGATAAATATAAATGCCCTAGAGACTGAAAGAATAATACAGGACCTTTGAAGAAGTAAATAATCATGTGCACAAAGAATGTGGAAATGATATTTGGATTCTCCAAAGTCTGACCATTCCCAAACTTCTTGGCTTCTGCATCCCTTTACACTCTCAATAATTATGGAGCATCCCAAAGTGCTTTTGTTTATATGAGTTACATCAATTGATATTTCTTATTAGAAATTTAAGTTGAGAAATTTTTAATGCTTATTTATTCATTTTTAAATAGCAATAATAAACCCATCATACATTAACATAAATAATATTTTTATGAAAAATAACTATATTTTCCAAAAATAGTTTATGAGAAGAGTAACATAGTTCTATATTTTTGCAAATCTCAATTGTGTGGCTTAACAGAAAGCATCAGGACTCTTCTATCTGCTGCTGCATTCAATATATTCAATCTGCTGCTTTGGTTAAAAATATGCTAAGAAAATTCAGATATTTAATTAAGAGTAGGAGAAGTATTTTAATAATCTTTCTAGTTATTTATGGATATTCCTCTTTGGTACTACACCAAAACTCAAAAAGTGGTAGTCATCAAAGGTTAGCTGCAATGAACATTTCCGACTCTGAATCCTCATAAAGAATGTAGACAAAAGAGTAAATAATATCTTGCCACTATTATGAAAAGAGTTTTGATTTCACAGACCCCATGACTTTATCTCAGGAACTCCTGGAGTTCCCCACCCCCCGCCCTCTAAAACCACTGCTATGTTTGCTAGGTGAGCAAACTCAAGCTTTCATTGTGTGAAACTCCCTTAAGTCAAAATAAGTCAGGACAGACTCACTCACTTGTAAATAAAGTTTAGTCAGTTATCTCTTCCCAATAAAATGTTCTACCACGTAATATGAAACTTATGCATGGCGTTAAAGAGCTTTCGTTAAAGATCTTTTGGAAATCAAATTTTACTTTGATTTGGTTCCTCATCCTACAAATGGTTTTGTCTTCCTCTCAAAGGGTACCTTCTCCCACCCATTATGTTACCCATGCTTATACCTTATCTTAGAATTTCCATCAGGGTGTTCCTGGTTATGATCCCCAACCCTGATTATAATCTCCAGGGTATGAAGAAAAATAGCAAGTCATCTTTCATGTGGGTACAGGCTAGGCAGGTGCAACAAGGAGTTCAAACCATATTTCCAGAAGGATAGTTACAGCCAAAGAAAATGCGGTAGAAACCATTACAGTGTGTTTTTTAAAGACATTTGTCCCTTGGAAAACTGTAACAGCAAAAATAATACTAGGTAATTAGCAAAACAAAACAAAAAAGATGCTAAAAGTAAATCATAAAGTCTGCTGTTCCTCCTGCAAAGCTGACTCACACACCTGGAATACTGTGACTAATTCTGACAGCTGTATCGCAAAGAAAACATAGCTGAGCTGGAGGAGGTCCAGGGAAGCCAACCAAAATGCTGAAATGAACGGAGGCTTCTCTCAGACAGGAGACACTGAAAAAGGACAGAGGGTTAGAGTGATTGAAGCCTTTGAAATCATGAAAGGCGTTAGCATTTAGCGTTATTAACCAAATCTATGAATTCTCAAACCATCTTTAACTTGTGGAACTCATGAGTGGCACAATTTTAAATATAAGTAGGTTCAGGAAGGATTTCTGGTGGAAGAGTCACATGGAGGGTGGGACTCTGGGATGCATCTCGCTAACTCAGGGTGGCTGTCATGAAGGACAACCATGCCTGCTCATAATAAAGTGCCCCCCTGGCCCTGGCCGGTGTGGCCCAGTTGTTTGGAGCATCGTCCTGTATGCCTAGGTTGTGGGTTCTGTTCCCCATCAGGCTACATACCAAGGTTGCAGGTTATATCAATCCCCAGGCAGGGCAGGTACAGAAGACAACCAATCAATGTTCTCTCTCACATCGATGTTTCTCTCTCTCTCTCTCTCTCTCTCTCTCTCTCTCTCTCCCTCTCTTCCTTTCCCTCTCTCTAAAATCAATAAGTGTGGGAACCAAGATGGCGGCATAGGTTAACGCCGGAGTTTGCTGCTTTGAACAACTACTTCAAAAGTGAAACCAAAAAACGGAAGGGACATCTCCCAGAACCACAGGAACGCTGGCTGAGTGGAAGTCCTACAACTAGGAGGAAAGAGAAACGCATATGGACACTCAGAGGAGACGCAGTGCTGAAGTCAAATTCTGAGGTGCGGAGTGCGCGGAGCGGGCTGGTGGCGGAGGGCACGGTTGGCGTTTTCAATCGGGAGGGAGTCGCAGAATCTGAGCTCCAGATCCAGGCGAGTCTTTAGGGACCCAGACTCAAACGGGAGAAGCGGGACTGTCTGGCTTCGGTCAGAGCGAGTGCAGCTTTCTCTCTGAGCTTTGCAGCGGGTGCTGGGACTCAGAGAGGCAGAGCCCCTGGGGACAGGACTGAGAGCCGCCATAACTGCTCTCTCCGGCCCACCCTGTTGATCCTGTGCGACCCGCCCCGCCCAAGCCCTACACAGAGGCATTTGCCGGATAGCCTCAGGCAAAGGCTAGATTAGCACCTCCCTAGAGGACAGAAGTTCTCTCACTGCTGACACAGCTGATTCTCATAGCCACTTGGCCTGGAGGTCAAACCCTCCCTGAAATTAGCTACAACAATCAAGATTTAACTATAAGACTGCGAACAAAGACCACTAGGGGGTGCACCAAGGAAGCATAACAAAATGCTGAGACAAAGAAACAGGACAAAATTGTCAATGGAAGATATAGAGTTCAGAACCACACTTTTAAGGTCTCTCAAGAACTGTTTAGAAGCCGCCGATAAACTTAATGAGATCTACAAGAAAACTAATGAGACCCTCGATCTTATATTGGGGAACCAACTAGAAATTAAGCATACACGGACTGAAATAACAAATATTATACAGACTCCCGACAGCAGACCAGAGGAGCGCAAGAATCAAGTCAATGATTTGAAATGCGAGGAAGCAAAAAACACCCAACCGGAAAAGCAAAATGAAAAAAGAATCCAAAAATGTGAGGATAGTGTAAGGAGCCTCTGGGACAGCTTCAAGCGTACCAACATCAGAATTATAGGGGTGCCAGAAGATGAGAGAGAGCAAGATATTGAAAACCTATTTGAAGAAATAATGACAGAAAACTTCCCCCACCTGGTGAAAGAAATGGACTTACAGGTCCAAGAAGCGCGGAGAACCCCAAACAAAAGGAATCCAAAGAGGACCACACCAAGACACATCATAATTAAAATGCCAAGAGCAAAAGATAAAGAGAGAATCTTAAAAACAGCAAGAGAAAGAAACTCAGTTACCTACAAGGGAATACCCATACGACTGTCAGCTGATTTCTCAACAGAAACTTTGCAGGCCAGAAGGGAGTGGCAAGAAATATTCAAAGTGATGAATGCCAAGAACCTACAACCAAGATTACTTTATCCAGCAAAGCTATCATTCAGAATTGAAGGTCAGATAAAGAGCTTCACAGATAAGGAAAAGCTAAAGGAGTTCATCACCACCAAACCAGTATTATATGAAATGCTGAAAGGTATCCTTTAAGAAGAGGAAGAGGAAGAAAAAGGTAAAGATATAATTTATGAACAACAAATATGCATCTATCAACAAGTGAATCTAAGAATCAAGTGAATAAATAATCTGATGAACAGAATGAACTGTTGATTATAATAGAATCAGGGACATAGAAAGGGAATGGACTGACTATTCCTGGGGGGGAAAGGGGTGTGGGAGATGCGGGAAGAGACTGGACAAAAATCATGCACCTATGGATGAGGACAGTGGGTGGGGAGTGAGGGCGGAGGGTGGGGCGGGAACTGGGAGGAGGGGAGTTATGGGGGGGGGGGAAAGAGGAACAAATGTAATAATCTGAACAATAAAGATTTAATTAAAAATAAAAAATAAAAATAAATAAAATCAATAAGTGTAACCTCAGGTGAGAATTAAGAAAATAAATAAATAAAACAAAGTACCCCTTGGTGCTGTCTGATAAAATATTTTCCTGTGCTCGTATTTGTGCAGTTAAATGCAAAGATTATTTTCTAAGGATCCCTTGCTTTCCCATTCTTCTGACCTATGAAGGGTTCTAGCTTTGCATACTCTGTCTTTCTCTCGTCCCCCTTCCAAGAAGCTCCCAATTCTGCCAGGCTGGCTCATTTAGGGTTTTTCTGGGATGTATCAGGTGTATAGAGGGGAGAAGAGCATAGGAAATAGAAGGCTGGTGCTAGGGGAGTTTTCTAGGTGAGACATTTGAAAACTAAGGGCCCAGATACACCGGCAGAACACCCCGGTGGATGGGAGAGAAGTGGGAGGAGGCATTTTAAAAGCATTGCCTTTGAGAGATGTGAGGTATTTAAATTACTTTGAAGCACATGTTGGTTGAGGCGCTGTATTCTTTTGACCAGGGTGTACCCCAGGCTTAACCACACCAGTCAAGACTCTACCAACATTCCCCAGGTGGGCTCCTCCGGTAATGCTCTTTGGGATTCCTTGCTAAAACTCCTGGGATTCTCAGTTTATATTCCTGCTCGACCACATGACACTTTGCAGTATCAAGTGGTTAAATTAAACCCCTTGGAGGACCTCCGAAGGTAGGTAATTGGAGCATAAGAAAGAATCTGTCATCAGATGCCTTTCACTAAGTTCATTACAGATAAAACCAACGCGAAGTGGTTAGAAGCAGAGGTTAAAGTTTCACTCTCTTGGACTTGGTATAATAATGAATTAAACTGCTGGAGTGGATGGCGGTCTGCTAAGAATATGATTTGGAAACAGGAAAACCAACCAACGTGTGGTTTAAAGGTAAAGTAACACAAGCCTACCAACACTATGCCTCCCTCTGATTTTATCATGTTCTTTGTGATGGGAACTGTCAGATGAGTGAGAGAATCTATATACACCTTCTCAAGCAGAGATGTTTTCTTGATATATGTGTGGCCAATGAATCACCAAAACACTCGATAACTCAGGCACTGTGACCGCAGCTCAACACCAGTACACTTTCTTGAAGAATTAGCCTACTCCACAGATCCAAAAATCGCTCTAAAAAGCAGCCAGTACTAGGGAGGGGGACATTAGCCGGCGTGAAGAGAGACTCAGAGGACAGCAGGTGCTACAAACACGGAAAACGGAATGAAAAGAAGCCGTTTGCTGCTTTCCCTGTTGGGAAAGAATCCACTAAGCCTGCTGG